GGCAATCCTTTAATTTCAGCAATATTTGAAATACATTAATCTACAATTTCCAGAAAATTTAGAGATTTATTTTTCAATTTATGATCTGATAACAATTTAACCTCTGTTTGATTTTATAGATTTTTAATCAATATTTTAGTTCATTGAACTTTAGTAAAATTAAGAATCATATTCTGAGGGAAAATTTAATGTTTATAAATAAAATCCAAGCTTGATTATAAATCTTTCCTGCCAAATATTATAATGCTTGATATCTTTATTCCTGATAATGTTGTACCATTTAATTAAGAAAATTATATACAATTGGATATTTTGCTCTAGAAACTTTTACTATGCCTCTACTTTATCCATATATATAAAACCTCAATTAATTATTAAGTGTGAGAAATCCTTTTATAACATTTGCCTAGATATACTTAAATTAAAAAAATTGATGTCTTTTTAAGGTTTATAACAAGCCTTAATTCTAAATGGTTGGGATATGACATTTAAGACTCTATTGTATATGCGAAACATTTCAACTATTAATTGCTTAGACATTATACAACTTATTATGGCAAGCATAATTCTTATTCTTTATTTTACCATATTACTAGATGGTTTCAAGTCTAAATAAAAAGTATAAAAGATGAAAAGGTTTCAAATTTTAAATTTCGGAACATAATTTTTCTTTTTATTCTTCTTGATTAATATTTAAAGATCCCAAATATTACAATTAGGATTACTCCTATTGACATGTATCTTTTAGATTAGCTTTTTATTTATCTATAGACATATTTAGCATAAAAATAAATACATTGTTAAGATGGTAGTGGAGATTTCAGTACTGACTTTTATGCTCAATTCATTCTTATACGTCAAAGAGTGTGATGAATATTTTAATGAACAGAAAAAAATAATATTAGGATGGATTCATATAAGCATTCTATCTTCTGGTCTAATTTCAGAAGTAATTTTTATTCTCAAAGATTCATATGTAAAATGGAAACAATTATACAAAAGAAAAAAGCCAGAATGTGCCAGAAATCCATTATTTATATGAATATAATATAAGTAGATAAAATATAAATCAATTGTTATCATCTATTTTCACTCTAACAAATGAAATAAAATCTAATATAACAGTTTTATTGATGCTTAATATTTTCAGATAAATTTACTTTTTTTCCCCTTGTTTTGTTTATTCCAGCATATTTCTATCTGGCATTCAACCTTATAAGCATCACCAACCAAATTGAGTAATGGATATATCTTTACTTTTAATATTTATCTATTGAAAGTATTGCCAAGACTTAATGTACCAATATTTATTTTGTTTTTAAATTATTATTTTATTTACTTTTATTTTTCTTCATAAAATGAATTATTCTAAAATTTGTTATTGAGAGTTTCAATTTCTTGAAAACCATTCGCTATTTATACCTATATCCTAGTAAATTTTCTTTACTCCTCTGGTGAATTTTGTAAAGTTCTTCTTTATGAATTGCAGAAAGATCCTTATAATAAAATTATCCTAATCATAATCAATAATTAAATTCACACTCGATCCAATTATCAAGGGATGTGAACCTGACCATTAAAATCTTCGCAATTATTTACTTTTATCATATGCTCTATATAATGCAACATGCTTAAGAGGTATTTTAAACTTCATGCAAGACTTTATTACTTTATTTAAGAGTTAAGCTAGATTAGTTGTTTGAATTGTGGGGCTTTGTATTTTAATTCCTCTATGGTTATTGGTAAGCTCCTCTAGCTTCCCAAACTTGAACAGTCTATTTTTGAATACTAGTTGCAGTATGTGCAAAGATTAGGTATCTCATATTGATCTCCTAATGAAAATTAATACTTCAGCTTAATTGTTATTTTTTCTTATTCAGAATTCAGAATATTAACTTGGTAGCTTAGAACCCTTTTACACAGCTATTAAAATGATACACAATTTCCAACTTAAAATGTAATAATTTTTTCCCTCAATTGTTTCTAATACTGTAATTATCGTATTTGTTGTTCTTGTAGTGATTCTGATTTTATATTGTATTTTACCGTCTGTGCACGCCCCTACCTTTTACTTAATCTAGGCAACTATTATTATATATTTATGTTATGAAACAAGTGCTATGTATTTTGCAAAACTTATACTAAACCTTCATTACTTTATTATTGGCTTGGCGAATTTTTCCTATTAAAATTGGATTTAAACTTACATTTTGCTCAAAAAATACAGTAATATTTATATTTAAGATCTATT